TAGAGAGTATTCGGTGGAAGAAATCTGTCGTGCACATTTTAAAAGTGATAATTTACCTCGATTCTCCTAGAATTTTGTTGGAATCCCGTCATGGAGATGGACAAAAAAGATTTCTTTTTTACAAGATGAAGATAGGGGACATTTTCTTTGTATAAAATTTCACAGAAAATATTTTTCGTCCCATGGGCCTCGTGGGATCCCATCCCATAAAAAATAAAAAAAATTTATAAATTAATCTTATTTTAAGTTTAATTTAATTTTTAAATTTAAATCTAATTTAATAAAAATTAAATTTAACTTAATTTTATCCAAGTCAAGCCATCCCAATCCAACCCATCATTAGGTATTTACTCATTTCTCATCACTCTCACCTTCGACCTTCCCCTCCTCTTTCGCCGTCGGCACTCTTGAAGATCTCATACCCTAAATCCCTCTATTGCTGTTGCCCTTCTGCCTTTCTTATTCTTCTGCCCTCACTTTCATTCTTCAAGATTCAAGAATCTTAGATCCTAAATCTCAAACCCTCCATTGCTGCCTACTGATTTGCTACTGGAGCTGTTGTCGGAGCCACACTACTGCTAGATTGGACTGCTATACATTGCTGCTGGGTACTGCTAGTGCTGCTGCTAGACACTTTTGTTGGGTGCTGCTGCTACTGCATGCTACTGCTGAGTGCTGCTGCTGCACACTGCTGTTGGCTGCTACCGAATCCATCTGGTTAGTTAATTTAACTATTTATGTTGAATTGATTTTTATTTATATTAAGAAGATTTATATTTGAGTTTATATTTAAAAGGTTTTAATTAATTATATTTAATTTTTTAAAATTTTATTTATTATAATTAAATATTAATTAATTATATATAAAAAATTTATATTTTGATATTAATTAACTGAAAATGAAGATCTCCTGGGAATCCCGTTCCGTGCGAGTAACGGAAGGAGGAGCAAAATCTGCCCTTCTCAAAAATCTCCGCGGGAAATGACGGGAAATGGGAAGGGATTTCTCAGCCTCGCGAAAGCCGTCGCTATTCCTAGACTGCAGACTAATGAGTGTCTATATAAAATAGGTAGCTTTGGGTGAGAATTTTATTGTATTTACAAAAAAATTGGACATATTATTGGAACCATGATTACATAGATTAAGATATCTCAAAGGGGTAGATGATGAAGATATGTTTGTTGTATTGTTTTATAATTAATTTATATTAAAAATAAAATATATTTAATTTTATAAATCATTTAATTAAAAAAATACATGTGAGATTACTTATTTTTTGATACATTAAAGGATTAGCAATTTAGTACGGTAGAGATTTAAATATTTAGCGTTGATTTTACATCAAAAATTTTTAATTAATAGGTATTAATT